ATGAGACTTCTTCCCTGTCTCTGTCAGTCCCTGCATCCTTAAATGTCTCCAGTTGTCCTGAGTTCTCTGTGACTGTCTCCTTGGTGCATTTAAACCCCTGTTCCTCCCTGTCCTCGTCGTCTGTTGTCTTCTTCTCCGTTATGAGTCATCATAATTTTATCCTCTCTGTGCAAGTCTGCAAATTTCTTTATTAAATCATAAGATTCCTAAATTCATCAAGTCTCTCTGTGCCTGGGTCCTCGTCTCAAAACATGACATCACTGTTTTGTACATTTTAACACAATTTAATCCCCACATTTGTGAAAGAAAAGAAAAACACTTTTTTGGAAAGTCTGTAACAAAACCATCAAATCTGATAAAGGTTATTTAAATGCTGCAAAAGAAGAATGGATTGGAACAAAAAATATATATATCCTAACCTTAATTACTGCGGGAGAATAATGAATGATACTCATAGTGAGTAAAAAGTAAACTGATTACATTTTTTGGACAGAGATTCACTTTTAATGTGTGTGTATAATATAATACAGATACATAAAAAACACTCCCAAAACAGAATAAATTATTACAAATAATTATTACATACTTTTGCAAGCCAAACGATTCATTCATTTATGAAATTTTGCAAGGACAATATGTATAATGCTTACCGTTTATTAAAGATCAGTATCCTGAAATGCAAAGAATTCAATTGCTGGATCGGCGGACAGAGGCGGTTTCTCGCAAGTTAAGTAGATTTTTTTAAGGCGGTTTATCCCGGAGTCGCAAAAGTATGATGTCACAACAATGTGTTTGGTCACTTGCAATGTTGAACCTGGAACAACATTTATTATGATGATGTGGGAACACCGACACGAGGATATCAGATAGTGCCGATGAAAACGTCATCGTGGGAAGGAGAATTGCTAAGGACTCAGGAAAAGAGAAGAGCGGTGCTGAGAGTTGGAACAGACTCACACTCGTCCCTCTGTAACAATGTTACACCCGGGTGGGATTCTTATGGAGGACTTATAATTAAAATGCTGACAGTAAACTCATCAGTAGAGGTGGGCAGGGGCGGTCCTAGCCTGTTTGGTACCCTGAGCAAACACTCCCTCTTTTTACTTTGACTTCAGAAAAGCAGCAAGCAGCCACACCGAGGGCTCTCGCGCTCACTTTTCGTGTATAGAATTTAGAAAAAACATCGCTGCAAATTCTAAGTCTGTGTTATAATGTCTAGTCTTTTCGTGTTTGTTGGATTGTTTTTATTTTGCGAGTTGGATATTAGGTGCTGCTCCAACCAGCCAGAGATCCCCCCCGCCCCGCCGCTCTGCTCCCTATGTTTGGCAAGCAGCAGGGGCACCTCGCAAATGGAAGGCGCCTTTACTCCCAGCAAATGGGCGATAGAAAACCGATCGGTGCCTATGCCATCGGGGCGATCGTGCCTCAAAGATTTGGCAGTTTGTTTTGTAACCGGAAGGTTGCCGGTTCGAGCCCCGGCTCGGACAGTCTCGGTCGTTGTGTCCTTGGGCAAGACACTTCACC